TGTGCGCGCAGCCGAGGAGCTCAGTGGGCGTTGCGTGCGTGTGTGCGCGTGCGCGCGCGCGCTGCTTAAGGAGGGGTGCGGTGTGCGTGCACCCTGAGGGAGTGCAGTGTGTGCATACGTGGTGGGGAGCTGGGTGGGCAAACGTGCATAAATGCAATTGTGTGTATATACGCATTGTCGGAGGGGGCTGAGCATGTGCATTGCATGTGTGTGCATACGTATCTGTATACGTTGTTGGGGAGCACTAGTAAGTGCCTATACGTGTGTGTTGGGAGGTGGGTGTGTGCATTTTGTGTGTTTGCCTGTAGGTGTGTGAAGTCTGCGTTGGGAGAGGTGTGTGTGTGTGCGTGCTGTGTGTGCACAGGCGGGTGTGTGTGTGTGTGTACCCACACTGTCTGCCTGTGTGCAGGCTACTAAGGGGCATTGCAGGCGAGCTGCGCGCGCTGCAGAGCCCCCCAGCACGCCCGGGGCTTTGTTGCCGTTCTTGCATTTGCTTTATTCTTGTTCCTCGAGCAAGACTAGCCCAGCTGGCACACACATACGCGCATCCGTGTGCACGCAGACATATGCATGCCCGTGCCTGAAGGCATGCACGCGTGCACATGCATGCAAACGTGAAGGCATGCACACACAAGTGTGTGCCCAGGGACACGCACGCTTGCTTGCCTTTCCGTGCACGCACACACGCACAGGCAGCACGCATGCAACCCACCTGCCTGCACGCACATGTGTGGTTGCACCCTCTCCTTCTGGCACCCGTCCGTCCGTCCATGGGGTGACTCAGACAATGCTTCTGGGCACTCTGGCAGCGCTAACACCCACCCCGGGGGCATGCACATACCCTTGGGGGGGGAGTGCCCAGCTGGGGCCTGATCCTGGTCCTGAGGCCTCTTGCTGGTCCCTGGGGTTGCCTCTTTCTGCACGGCTGGGCCAGGCCAACGTGCAGGGCCGGCAGCCTGACTGCATTGCAGCATGGCCTGGACCCCCAAACAGGCTCGCAGAGCCCTTGCCCCTTGTTGGGGTGGGCAGGATGAGGCCATGCATCGCTCCATCGCAGGAGGGGCTCAGCACCGCCAACCTGCCCCGTGTCTCTGCTTGCAGCGGGGTAAACTGAGGCGCGGGGTGGACTCCCCCCTTCAGGTGGGTCTCCGGACGTTGGGCAAAGCCAGGAGCTGGGGTGAGCACCCAGCACCCCAGCCCCGCTGCCACCTGCGCCAGCCCGGTACCTCGCTGCTCTGGGGTGGGCCGGGTCCTGCGGCAAACGCAGGGTTTTCCCCTGGCGGGAGCATCCCCGCAATACCCCCCTGCTTCCCCCCTGCTGACAAGACCGG